TCCCACGTGCACGGCTTCTGTCCTCTTTCCCCACTTTGCCTTCCATTTCCCTCCCTCTGCTCTCTTCCCTGGCCCTCATCTCCTCCCTTCCCTCCTCCCTTAGCTGGCCAGGCAGCTCCTGGCCTGTCCAGTACGTCCGTTGTGTATAATATCTAAAAGTTGACGTTGATCATTTCCATTTAAAACTAATTAATACTGCAGAAGCTGGCGTGCTTATTCCAGAAAGTACCCAGAGGACTGTTAACACAGTATTCTAAACCCTTTCCTCCCAGTCCCTGCATTCACAGCTCCGGGAAATGTACCTGGCAGCCCCCTCATCCCACTGGTTTCTTCCAGCCCCCGAGCCTTCGCTCCCCACTGCACACTCCCTGCTTCGCTCCCTCTCTGCTTCTCCTCCTCAGGTCTGTCCCACCTCCTGCCCTGGACCAAAGTCACACCAGGTCACATCTGTTCTTTCAAGCTAACAGGACGCGTATGACCTTCCACGGGGAGCCCAGTGTCTCTAAGACTGGACACTTGACACGCTACAGGTTTTGTTCTGAAGTTTATTATTTCTGCTCTGCAGCGTATTTTTCAAATGCTCTTTTACAGGTTAGAGGGCTTTTGTCTGCCTGGTTCCAGATAAGAGGCTACCAGGGTAGCCCCCTGAGAGAGGCTTCCCCAGTGAAGGGGTACTCCCCGGGCTGCCCTCCTGAGGTAAATCACCCAGAGCTTTTGCATGAGAAAAGACCTGGCTGACCCAGAAGGTGGGATTTATAAATAGTCCTCCAGCCCTGTTCCTTAAAGCTTGTCCACCTAATCCTCTCCTCCTTCAAGATTGGAGGTGATTTGACCTTTGAGTCTTAAAACTTGACCCTATTTCTTCTCTAAAAAGCCTGGTTAGAAAAAACTACTGAAAAGAATGTTTTCAGCCCAGTGACAACCATCAGAGCTGCCCGCCTCCCCCAGGAGGCCTCCCTTTTAAGGTGCAGTTTTTCTCATTGTTATTTTACAGCACCTGCCTCAGTAGTTTTTATTCCTTTTACTAATAGGCTATCGTAGATTTGTGGTTTTTGGAGTCATGAAACAGTTCCCAAATAGCTACATCTCTATCACGAACTAAGCACCTCCTTCCTTTTCATTCCTAAAATAACAGGACTTTGAGGGGTTCTAAGTTACTGCCACCTACCCGCGCTGGGTAGAGCACTGTATTCCTCCAATTTTGTATTAATTAGGATAAAACCTTACAGTACTTGCTAGGATGATAAAATGAAGCCTGAGAAATAGACTCTGAGAGTCAGTTTTCCAGGTTAGGGTACAGGCCGGAAATGCCTAATGGTTGAACTGACCTAAGATGGTTTTTAAAATATATTTTCCGTAAAGAATCAATTAGGTCTTAACCCGATTACTGTTAAAAAGAAGAGATTCTTAAGTTAGGACAATAAACTACATGTTTTGAGCAGCTTTTCTCCCTTGCTTTAATATGGAGGAAACTTCAATTCTGTCCATTTACCCTCAGAGAGAAGCCTCTGGTGAAGTTCCCTTCATGGCCGGCAGACTGCAGTCGGTCGTGGGCCGAGGCTTTTCTTGGCTGACCCACACCAGTGGCAGGAATGCTTTTTCTGGAAGCCACAAGATCTGATCCAGCTGTTGCTTTGTAAGGGGAGTCTCTTCTCGAGGCCTTTCTTGCCCTGGTTTTGCTAGAATGTCCCACTCGCATGGGAGCCTGGGGCTTTAGAAGTGACTTGGCTTGTTTAGGAAAGTCTGGCCATCTGCAGAGAAAGAGTGAACACGAACACCTGCACGGAGCAGGCTGGGTGAGGGCCGTGTCTTCTGAAAGCTCAGGCTTCAGTCTCTGCCGTGGTTCCGTTCACATTTGCGCACAGAGCGGGCTCGCTGGCACTGTGGCCGGGTTATGTCTCCCGTTGAGGAAGCTTTCTCTTCATAGACGGGCACCAGGCAGAGGGCAGCATATTTGCAGTAACTGGAATTGTAAGACGTGACCCGAGCACGTAGCACTGTTCCTTGCTTTTGAATTTAGTTGTTTCAACGCCAAAGTGGAGTTCAGACATAAGCCCAGGAGGGCCAGCCACCCGGGTAGCAGGGCAGCAGCTTCGGGCTGTGAAAGATGCTCACAGGGAGAGCGTGTTGGGGCTGTTGAGAGCGGAGAGGCACAGCTGGCATCCCCACACAGGCCTTTCCGGGGAGCCCGACGATGCATTCAGGGAGCTCTACTGGGTCACCTTGGTTATCTTTGGCAACTTTTCTTACGTAGCAGCAAAACCTAGACAGACTCTCCAGAGAGTTAAACATGGTGCCGTGACACCTGTAAAGGTGCTCGTACCCCCTGTGGTTTGGGGTGCTCCACTGCAAGCTGCCCGCACCAGCTGGAAGGCTCCCTGGGCTCTCAGAACTGACTGGCCTTTGAAGACCAGGCCTACAGTGACCGTCCCCTGCTACCAGGGCCATGCCAGTTTGTACCACCTGCTGCCCTACCCTGGCTCTTCTTTGAGTCCTCATGTGACCACAGCTCCAGGGCCCGGATAGGTCCAGGCTGCCCCAGCCAGTCACACGAAGACCCCCAAGGCTGAGAGAGAAGGATCTAGATCCCCTAGGTGCTGTAGTTCAAAGTAGCCGCTGCCTGCCATGGGAGAAGGGAGGCTGCAGGGCAATGCTGGGAAGAGGGCTTGGTGGCTAGCTGGCCAGGACAGAAAAAGGACACATGCAAACTATCCCCGTCGTCGTCACCTGAAGTTGTTGCCACAGGTGCTAGCCAGCTTTCTAGATGTGGCCTCCGTGCTTGGATGGTGTTTTCTTTTCCATTGTTTTTGTTTTTTTTAAGATTTATTTATGCATATGAGAGCTGGGGTACAGGCCAGTGGTGCGGGGTGGGGGGGCGGTGAGTGGATCCACTGAAACCCACTGCTGAGGGGAGCAGCAGGGAGCCAGGAGAGGTCTGCTGCACCATGTGGGTCACCTCCCTGGCCGGGGATCAAACTCTTGCTGCTGTGACTGCGGATAGTTTCATGGTGCTGCGACTTAACCCCTTGTGCCACCAGGGAGGCCCCTCCATTGTTAAAAAACAATCCCTTGGAATTCCTTTTCCAGACTAACCTTTATTGTCATCAAGTCCGTGTACGTTGTTTGGAGTCACAGGCCTACCTGGTTTCCGCTGAAGAGCAGCCTTCCTGTCCTGCGCTCCTGGTTCCTGCTCCCCGCAGGAGACTCCAGGGCTTCCTGATTTGTTTGGTAGCCACTGTGGTGTTTCTGGAAGCACACTGTCACTGCCTGGCTGTGTCCGTTTGCAGCATACTTACTGGCTTCCCACGGTGGAGAATGAGTTCGTTCATCTCCACGCTTCACTCCCGACCGCGCAGACACGCTCTTCTCCTGCCCTGCTCCGCGCGTGGCCGCTGTCACTGCCGAGTCCGTGCTCTTTGCATGGAGCCATTGGGACACTGTGACTGCTGCCTCCAGGACCCCCTTCCATTCTCCCCAGGGTTAGTAAGTGTCTTGTTTTTGTGTTCATTTGCTTAGGTTTCCCTTCTCATGAACCCCTAGTTGTATGAGTCACCCCTAATCATCATTCCATATAAACACAAGTCTCGGAATTCTCCCCTCTTAAGGAAACCCTCCTGGGTTCTGAGCTGCTTTTCCGCGCCCTGTGCCATCGCCTCCAGGCCTGTGAGAGCACCGTGTCTTGGGGTCTCTTCCCCACTCTCCTTTTTTGGACTCTCCCCCTTCCTGAATCTTATGTTATCCTCTTCCTTGGACTTCCCTGTCATTTTGAAGGGGGTGTTAGCATTGGTTTCTAGAGGGAGTAAGAACTGGTTAGTTGTTTTGGGAATCATTTCCTTGGGAATTTTGAAGTCACAGCTCCATCTTCTTTCCTCCAGTATCCCTGTTAACACCTGATTCACCCTGGTTGTTTTCCCCACTCTGATCGTGACCCAGATAGGACAGGCTGCCTGGCTCAGGAAGCATCGTCCTCGAGGGCGCAAGTTCATGGTGACGGGCCCTTCCTGCATGGGCGTTTCCTTGTATGTTCCCCGCAGTTTTCTGTTCCGCCTTCCTCCAGCGCCTGTGAGATTTCAGACCTCTTAAAATGATGTCCCGTTGTTTCTTCCCTCCCCTGTTTTATGTCCCGTTGTTTCTTCCCTCTTCTTTCTGAGAGAATGCCTGAGCTTTGTTTTCCAACCCTTGCATTGAGTTATATGGTTCCGCTATCAAGATGTATGTTTTTCTGGAGTTCTTTTTTGTTCTCTGAATGTTCTTTTCTTAGGGTGGTGTTATTGACTTACTGTACGATGAGCCATGCAGAAACTAGAAAATACAAATACTGAAGCTAGAAGGCATTTTCTGACTGACAGAGACCGTTGACCAATCTCAGAGGTTGTAATCTGTGCCAGCGAAAATCACTTAAAATATGCAAAATTCACTTGTTCAAAAACTTTTGGTGTCTGCAAAGGTTGTCTCTGGCTGGTTTCTTGGCATGTCTTTAGTGCTCCTTTTTTAAATATTTGTGTCTTCCTTTGTGGTTGTTTTGTTTTTCCCCCACCTCTAAAATTGCTTCTTGTACTTTAGAGCAGGACACTAAATTCTACTTACCTGAGGGCTGTACTTGGGGTGGGGGGGGCACAGACTGTGACCTCACTGAGGGGTGATCTGCCTGAGCCCCTTCCTGGGTTACCTCTCATATCTCTTTCTTAGGTCTTTCATTGTGACCAGTCGGATTCTGCGGGCAAATTTTAAACATTGCACTGTTCATTTTCTACTTCTTTCTTGTCATTTCTAGACACGTACATCAATTTATTCTCTCTCTCTCTCTTTCTATCTCTCTCTCTGCTTATTCCTTTAGATGTCTTGGGTTCTTCTCCACATTCTTAGCTGCGTTCACGGCGCTCAGCAGTTTGGCAGACTTGCTGAAAAGTAAACAGTTGGCAGGAGCAAATTTGAGACACCTGGAGTACAAAGTGGGCGGCACTCTCGGTGTCTTATTTTTCCTTAATATATTTGATCAGAAATTGGATGAACCTTCGGGATGCGGAGACAGGGAAGATACTGTGGCAGGGAACAGAAGACCTGTCCATCCCAGGAGTGGAGCATGAAGGTACTTGATCTGCACCCGGGGCGGGGGGTGCCGCTGGGGGGGCCCCCCTGGAGCAAGACCAGGCATCCCGTGGGGAGCTGAGCTAGCACAGACCTAATAGCAGGCAGGCCTTGGAGGCACAACCCTGTAATGCAGGTGTTGACATTTCGCTCCTCTCTTCATTTTCCCACTTCCAGAAACCGACTTTGTGTTGAAATTTTAGCATCAGAAAATATTCAAAGATATAAACTAAGATTTCTAGTTTTCTTTCCCAAAAGAAAATTTGCACTTTTATCTCCATGCAATAAAAGGAAAGGGCTCAGCAGGACAGAGTAGAGAGAGGTGCCCATTCAGCCCCCTTCCTGACGAGAGTGACCTGAGGCGCACCACAGCTGGTGTCCATGGCCCTTGTAATAGACTTGACCAGTTGGGGACCTCTGCCTCTAATTAAAAAGTATGATTCTGCTACCCAGGCGTCTCTGCAAATTAGCATAGATAATGTGTGCTCCAAACCTGTCAGAAGCTCCCAGAAGCTTGAAACTCCATAGTCATACGCATTTCACCTAGAATGGCTTCAGTGTTTCTTTTTCCTTCTCAGCCCGTGTTCCCAAGAAAATCCTCAAGTGCAAGGCCGTGTCTAGAGAACTGAACTTCTCCTCAGCAGAGCAAATGGAAAAATTCCGCCTGGAACAAAAAGTTTACTTCAAAGGGCAATGCCTAGAAGGTACCCTGCTGCCTGCTTGTCTGAAATCAGGGCCTAGGGCAACTGGGACAAAGATTAGAGCCAGTGAGCTAAAGCCAGCTTTGACAGAGGCTAGTTTCACAACCCACTGGTGAGCAGATGCCTATGCCCTGCCAGGCTGGGAGCCCAGCAAAACACAACCAATGCAGGAAATTCCGGGGGGCACTGAGCCCAACAGAAGGGTATCTGACAGTGGCGCCAGGTTGGTGCTGGCCTGCTCGCTCGTGTAGTGTTGAGACCTGGACACAAGGAAGCCGCTGGCCGGGGCTGGCCCCGTGCGCCACACAGGTTTAACTGGCATGGCCACCCCGCGTGGGGTTCCCGTTGACGGCCAAGAGTCCACATCCGTAGCTCAGAGTGGAAACTCCACATAAAAAGATCTGCTCCTCCTCCATAACGTACATCCGGTAGGCCTCTAAGGGGGACACTGGTGCCACTGTACTGCCCCTGGTGCCCTAGAGACCCGAGCCTGGGGAGTGGCCTCTGGTGCAGCATGGAGGACATGCGAAGGGGCCTCCTCGGCCTCTCCAGCCCCCCCGGCCTGAGAGGGTTTGATGGCTTCGTGGGTGCTCTCAGGGTAGGAAGAGCCCTGAGACTCGACACCCGCTCACCCACTCTCCCTTCTTCCTTCAGAATGGTTCTTCGAGTTTGGCTTTGTGATTCCCAACTCCACAAACACCTGGCAGTCCCTGATAGAGGCAGCGCCAGAGTCCCAGATGATGCCAGCCAGCGTGCTAACGTGAGTGGGCAGGCCGCAGGGATGCGAGTGGTCTAGGAGCAGGCACCCCACGTAGTGGGACTCGGTCCTGTTCAGGGCAGCCACCTGGGTTGAAAACAAGGATGAAAGGGTACCCCGGGTTCCCAGCGCACACGTCACTGCTCTGTCCGTGGGGAGGAAGGGCAGTGTGCTGGAGCCGGAAGAATAAAAACTTTGGACTAAGTTCCTGATCATCCCTGACTGTGTCACCCTAGACAGTGTCCTCCCTCTCTGGACCTTTCCTCCTGTCTAACGCCCTCTTCCAGAGGTGTAGTGAGGCCACAAGTGATCGGGAAGGAAACAGGCATATAATATATGTTAATATATGTTAAATTGATGCGAATTTACTCCCTGACAACCAAGCTCCTGGTCAAGCCTTTGTTGGAGCGGCTTCCGGTAGTGCCTGACCAAACCCGAATGCGGTGGGAGAAGAGAATATTTGTTATAGTTTTTCAAAGGCCAGCTTGGCTTCCCACTCAAGGAACAATTTGTATTTTGTCCAAAAACGCTGTCAACAACTACCCACCTACCATTTTCTCTTGAGAAAGAGAAAGGTTTTATTAGCAGTGCCTGATAAGGAGTGATTGACACAGACAACCGTGACGGTGGATGGTCTCTTTACACAGGTCCTTTCTGAAGGCCACAGTGGATTTGCAAATACTTGCTTTATGTGCTCTTGGCCACTCAGATCTTACCTATTCTATAATCAATTACCAGCAAAAATCTATCAGCTGGCTGTTCATTACCCAGGGAAGTATAGGGTGCGGCAGAAGGCACTTTGTAGACTGTGTAGCCTTCGTTTGACTTCCTGGTAGGCTCGTCTCTTGCAGGCACCACAGCCAACACACCGATGATAACAAACTTAGGTCATTTGTCATAGCTTCCTTTAAAACCCAAAAGCCAGCACCTGTGTGGCCCTGCATTCTGCCCAGCAGTGGTGGACACACTGAGAGCCCCAAGGACATGGGCCCCCACCCTGCACAGTGCGGGGTGCCGGTGGGGCCCTGTGGCTGCAAGCCCTGGAGACTGGGAAGCGAAGAGGTATGGCCAAGGCCTGGAGCAGCTCCGACACCTGAGTGCAGGAATTGGTGGGTGGCTCTCCCGAGGAGGGTTCCTGCTTAGGGGAGAGTCTGATAGGCCCAGGTAACATACTGGGCTCACCCCTTTGCCAGGTGAGGGAGGGGGTCACTTGATTGAGCCATGACTAGAGATGAGGTGGCTCCTTGAAAGGAGAGCAGGTTGTTGTTGCCCCAAGTGAGGACAGAGGCAAGGGAGCTGCCAACCCACACTGCACAGAGAGTCGATGTAGGAGAGAAGACGCTGCCCAGGACCAGAAAGCTGTGTTTAGAGCCAGGCCTGTGTGCGTCCTGCTGCGGTCCTGACGTGTCCCAAGGAAGCAAGCCCTGCTCTCGTCTGGCTTCCGAACTTGAGGACAGGCCTAGTCACCTCAGTGGCGTCATGTTAGACTCCTGGCTCTGCAGGGACACCCATTTCATGTCTCCCGGCAGGTTCTGGGTGGGTGCGTGTCCAGGCCCAGCAGGCCTGGGTTGCGGCCACTTTGTGGGAGTCCAGCCGTGCTGCCTGAGACGCTCACGCTTTCTCTTGCCTTCTCTTCTTACTTGCAGTGGGAATGTTATCATAGAGACAAAGTTTTTTGACGACGACCTTCTTGTAAGCACATCCAGAGTGAGACTTTTCTACGTTTGAGAGAAGAATGTGTGTGCATTTCAAGAATTTGGGTTTTGGGGGGGAAGGAGGAAAGTGTTTACTTTTTACCTCCACACTTTTGATTTTTGACACCTCCACCCCTAATTCCCTCCGCGGCAAAACCCACCTGGACCCCCGGGGACCAGCTCTGTGTAGTGACCGGGTGGCTTTTCCCCCCAGCCGCCATCTTCCCCCGGCCACACTAACCCCACCCCAGGCCAGGGCAGAGGGCGCGCCTCAACTCCTCCCCGGTGCGAGCGTGGGGAGCCAACGCTCCTCGCGCCAACCGACGCTGTTCCCGCCGCCTCCCTGCCGCCTCTTGGGCTCTGCGGGTGACACATCTTCCTTTGGCCCCTGGTTTTGGAAAAATTTGCGTTCCCAGCCCATGTTTAGTTTTTTCCTACATTTCTATTTCATACATTCTCATACATTTAACTTGTAAAATAGACTGTGATATTATTATTACATAATGAATTAAAACATATGAATTAAAAGATTCCTACAGTCTTTAGCATGGCACTGCCTTCCGCTCTCCTTTGTTCTGGAACGGGAACCGGCCTACAAAATGGGAAGAAGGACAGCCTCAGGCACAGAATCACGGCGCCATGGTGCTCCAGAGGTCCCCTGGCAGACCTGGTGCCCTGAGCGCTCCATTTCTGCTTTCCAAGGATGGGCAGCGTACCCGGACAAGACCCGTGACCTTAGCGCTCGCCTCCTAGACGCGACGCTGGATGGGCCTCTCCCGCAGCGTGCAAGTGCCCTTTGTGCTGTGGTGCTGGTCTAGGCTTGTCCATTCCTTTATAGTGTTCATTTGTTCGAGAGGTTTCCAGCGAGGGTAGAAGCTCTAAGTTGATAGCGTAGGGACTCTTAAAATTCCTAAGTGAGAGAAGTCGCACGATGAAGAGAAGGTCTCCATGAGCTCAACTGGAGAATGACATGGGGTGCCGGGAGGCCTCGGGTCCACAGCCCGGAAGCCAGCGTGGAAGACAGCTGATGGCGTCTGCAGCGTTTCCAAGTCTGAGAGAAGAGAGAAAACAAAAAGGAATATTGGGAACTTGTCTCTGAGCTACAATAACCTTCGCCCCTTATAAAAGGCCAACAATTAAAAGATTTCTTATCCCCAAGTGGTAAGGCCTGAGGCCGGTGGAGAGGAGACGGCCCTGGGAGCCAGGCCCGCTCATGGCCCGCGCTTCCTTCCCTCTGCTGCTTCCCTTCTGCTTTCTCAGTTCTTAGAGTCTCCCATCTGCTTCCCATGCCCTGAGCCATATCTGCTCTGCTCCCTAGAATTCTTCCATCAGGGGTGCCGCTGGGGACTGGGCACACGCTAGTGGAGAAAGGACCCCCAGGGATGTTTTCCACCTACAGCGAGCCTCCTTCACTGCCCTTCTCCACTCCCCACCAGCCTCAGCTGTTAGACGCGCCTCTTTGCACACTGCTCTGAGGAAACTGGAAGGACCTTCGGCCCATTTGTCCTCAGGCGCTCACCATCCCCCAGGTCCCTGTCCAAATGCTCAGGAGGTGGTTCTCTTATCACGAAACACAAGGCAGAGAGGGCCCCCAGGCACTGCAGGGGGTGGAAGCCGATGGCCAGGTGAACACGGGCAAAAGGACACCCCGCTGCAGAGGCTGGGACCTGTAGGGCCAGGCCATCCCGGGCAGGGTGGGTGCAGGTCCAAATGCCGGACGGTCACAAAAGGCTATTGGAAGCAGAAGTACACACCCTGGGCTGGCACACGGGTGCCACCTGTTCTCAAATGACAATGGGCCCCTGCCATTCCCTAGAGATTCTGATTCAGTAGATGCAGCACCCAGAAATCTGCCTGTCGGATCCCCAGGTGCTCCCGCTGCAGGTGGTCTGCAGAGCAGGCTTTGAGGAGTAGAGAGAGAGGCGCTTAGTGAATGTTAGAGAAGCACCTAGGGACATGGGCCACTGCAAGCTCCATAGGTCCTCAGCACCCTGCCCCCAGCACCCTGCCCCGGGACCATGCTGGAGGAGCAGAGCGTGGCCCCATCTGATCTGTGTGGGCCAAAGGTGCTTCAGGGCCTCAGGGCTGTCGACGGGAAGACTGTCCAGCTGGGGGAGGAGGACGGGAGGATCCCAGGCAGCCCAGCTGGGATCCTTGGGAGAACTGAGAGCCTTTCCCGCGTAGTTTCTGTGTAGAGATGCCGGCTGCAGCCTGCTGTGTGTCCCCCGGCCATGTCGGTGCTGGTGCTGCACCAGACTTCGTGGCGGAGGTGGCCTGGTTGGCGCGGGGGGTGGTGGTGGAGGAGGCAGTCTACCAAAGGGGGTCTGTTCACACTCAGACCACACTCCCGGGCCTGTTACACGTGTCAGTAAGATGTCACCAGAGGCCGGGCCTGCTCTGGCAGGTCTTACCCGCCACGGGGAAGCACAGGTGGGCGTTTAACGGGAGGAACGATCACACACAATTCAGACAGAATCAGGAAAGCCTCTCTCCGGAGCCTTCAGCTCAACCTCAAAACCCCGTTCAAGGTCTCACTCATAGCAGGAGTTTAGAAAACCTAAATAAGGGCCCAGGAAAAAGACTAATCAATACAAAGTAATAATCAAAATCAACAAGCAGCTATAAACCAGAGACACACGGGTGGGAGGGGTGGCGGAGAGAGGGGCGGGGAGAGGAAGGACTAGAGTCAAATAAGGGGGGGTGCAATTGTAGGGGGAATGTAACCAAAATGAAAATGCATACATTGTGCAAAGGTGAAAAAAGATGTAAGAATTATATAAAATATTTAAAAAAAAAAAAACCCACGTTCAAGTCAGCCCCCCAAAACTTTTGTAATCCAGGCTCCCTTCACTCCTGCCCGCCTCCTCTCTCCCTGCAAACTTGGAGCTGTCTCCACGCGCCCCTCCTCTCATTGACTAGGCACTGCGCTCTGGCTCTGTCCCCCAGCCGTGCCCACCTCCTCTCCTTGGGTGCCTCCGTGAACCCCTTCTCGCCCTCACCCCGCTCCGGCTTTTTCTTTTATGTGTCCTGGAACTTCTCGCCCTGGGTTCCGGCAACCCCTTCCCGGGGCTCTGCTCCTTGGTCCTCCGCAGGCGCGTCGCCGTCTGCCAGCTGCTTGTCCCTGGGCGTCTGGGCCTGGGTTCATTTTGACATTATTTTGGCTGCCGGATATTGAGGACCTGTGTGAGAGACTCATGACACACCCGCCCCACACGTGTTTTTGGAGACAGTGACGTGCCCCTGTCCTAAGTGGTGGAGATGCTCGCTGGCCAGAGGAGCGGGGTCCCGGCCGTCGCCTTCTCATGGGAGGACACAGGAAGCGAATAAATGACGTTAGACGGCAGCCCGAGCTCAGAAAACCCCGCAGCGAACCCATCGCCAAGTGTGCGGCTGAAGACACGGAGGTGGGCCTTCAGCTTTTGCCCACCAACATGGATGGACCCGACCCACGTAGAAAGCCAAGCTTCACGCCAAAGAAAAGCTCTGTTAACCCCTCCGACTGTCCAGCCAAGCAAGAGCCATGAGCGCCAGCCTGATGGTCTAGTTTATCAGAGAACTTGGGGAATAGGAGGTGGGCCCGGCAGGCCCGACCCCCACCCCCAGCGGTGTGGGATGGAGAGAGGGAAGAGGTGCTGATGGACATCCTGGCTTTCCTTCACCCCAGGCCCAGGTGTGGGGGTGGAAGGTGGCTGGAAACATCTGTCCTGCTCTGGGGAAAGCTGAGAACCGCCAGGCAGGCACCTGCTCCCTGGAGGTGGGCGAGTAAGGGGCAGCCACCCCGTCCCACCGCCCCGACTTGGGCCTGGCGGTCCAGACTAAGGCCTGGCCCCACCTTCTGATCTACCCCTCCCACCCAGCGGATGTGCATCTGCTCACAAGATCTCTGTCATGTCCAGTCTCTAGAACGTCCTGCTAGCGACGAGGTGGTGGCTTGCAGCTTGCAAAGTCCAGTTAAAATGCTCCTCAAGCCGGGCGTGGTGGCGCGCGCCTGTAGTCCCAGCTACTCGGGAGGCAGGGGCAGGAGGATCGCTTGAGCCCAGGAGTTCTGGGCTGCAGTGCGCTATGCCGATCGGGTGTCCGCACTAAGTTCAGCATCAATATGGTGACCTCCCGGGAGCGGGGCACCACCAGGTTGCCTAAGGAGGGGTGAACCGGCCCAGGTCGGAAACGGAGCAGGTCAAAACTCCCGTGCTGATCAGTAGTGGGATCGCGCCTGTGAATAGCCGCTGCTCTCCAGCCTGGGCCACATAGCGAGACCCTGACTCGAAAAAAAAAAAAAATGCTCCTCAAAGTGGAGACACCAACTCATTTCAGCCATTCTTTGGGGTCTTTCATTTGGTCTGAAACTGAGCAGCCTCCACATAGCTTTGAAGAATCAAGAGTGGAGGAGGGATGGCGATTTGGCAGATGCTTTCGTACCCAAGCGCACCCAGACCCCGCCGCAGCCCCACCGCAGCGCCCACGGCTCTTACTTTTCAAAGGAGCCCAGTGACCCTGGCGGTGGGGCTGCTCCGGAAGGGGAGCGCAACGGCAGAGACCACACTTCTCGGGGAGATATCTTTGGAAACCGGGTTTTGGGAGGCGTGAGGGATAAACAAGGACCCCTTGGAAATCCATGTGAATGGGAAGTGAGAGCGTGTGTCCAAACCGATCCCAAATTTCCAGAAGCTGTGTGTGCCCGTGGGCACAGGCCCCCATTAGTTAGCCGTCATGATTATAAAAGAAATAAAAATATTTTTTCTCTGAGCTCATGTGGCTTTCCTTTTTCCAAAATAATATGCCAGCTACTACCGAAGGACAGAAATGCTTCAATTGTTTGGACCTCACTACTTAATAAAGAGAATTGTTATTCATTGTTGCTCTGTGAAGAAAAATAACTGGGACACCCTGAGGTACTGTGAACAGAGAAAGTTGGGGACACTGGGAAGCCCCCCTCAGTTTTTGAGTTTTTTTTAAAGATTTAATTGTGCATACAAGAGCTGGGGTACAGGCCAGAGGTGCCCGGGTGAGAGGATTCACCAGAGACAGAGCGGGGAACAGAACAGGCAGACTGACTGAAATACACGGCTGAAGGGAGCAGCGGGGAGACAGGAGAGATGTGCTGTGCCATGTGGGTTGCTCCCTGGCCGGGGATCGAACTCATGCTGCAGTGGCTGCCTATAGCTTCATGGTGCTGAGACTTGACCCCTTGTGCTGAGACTTGACCCTTTGTGCTGAGACTTGACCCCTTGCACCACCAGGGAGGCCCAACTTTGGGTGTTTTATTGGAAAACGCTTTTCCTTTTTTTCTCTATGCACCGTCCCACCATCCTATTAAAGTTCTCTCGCACTAACTATGCTTCGTCTTTATGTGGCAGATGGCAGAACCCATTTAGAGCATGCAAGTTTGCGGGTCCTGGGGTGCTCCTCAGCCTGCACCCTATCAGCATGACGGCAGGCTGGAGAAGAGGAAAAGGGGTGCTCTAGGCCGGGGTTGCAAGGTGAGCAGCTCAAATGACCCTGCGCCACCCTCCCTATAGGGAAACAAAAACCTGCCACCCAAAACATGTCTTT